GACTTTGTAATAGACCTACAGTGGCGGATCCAGAAATTTTCATAAGGGGGACCCACTGACTGCCTAAGAGGGGCCCCGCTCCAGTCATGCTTCGGTGATTCCCTAAATAATCAACCAAATTTTTCCCATAAAAGGGGGGCCCGGGCCCCCTGGAAAACCCTCAAAATCCGCCCCTGACCTACACGCTGGTCCATGCTAGTTCACAAGGTCAGTAGGATGACATGACACTCAACCGGATACATAATGCTGGTGCGTGCTTAGCAGAGAGGCAGCCAGTCTTTGATTTGAACCAGCCGAGGATCGAACCCAGGACCTCCCGCACCCGAGGCGAGCAATTTCAAGCTACTACAAGACCAGAGGCGGTTAAGAATATTGAAGATACATGTTCACGTATATTCAAAACATTAAAAACAAGAATATGTGGCAGTAAGACACTGTGCCCCCTGACATTATCACATTTTCACATGTTCAGAAAACCACGTAATTCGGGTAAAAGCCTTATTTGGTATATGATTTTCAAACTTTAAAATTGGAACGGGACGGATGAACGGACGGACACACAGACACGAAAACATGACAACCCCTTGCTATCATAAGTTGGTTATACAAATAAAAGAATCCTACTAACAAAACTACAATAAAATTTTCCATACATGCCCGTGTCCTAATCCATTTTATAAAATTCTATGGAAAGATGACAAAGTGCTATCATATAGATACATCAGTGATCTGTATTTTTTCCTCGGACAAAGTATCTTGAAACACAATTGAAACTATAGAATTATCATAAAAAAGAAGTTAGTCGTGTAGAACTTAAATACATTCCGACGTGTTTGAAACTCTTGTTTTAACTTTACAACTTATAAATAAATAATGAGAATATCATCTCGCTTCAGATTTCATTATTTTTATTATTTACAACTAAATTTTGATTTTAGTGGTTTTAAAAATTCCTCATTTGAGAACTAAATATATGGGTCAAGTGAAATGACAAAGCAATGATCGATGCATTTGATTCCGGTAACTGGATTCATTATTCCCTTAAAAGTTTGTTTTCGATAAAATCTTCCAGAATTTGATAACAAAATATGTAAAGATTTAAAATAACAGATTGGGTTAATTTTTGAATAACATCTATTCCAACATAATATGTGTATTCAACGAGCAAAAAAAAATCATGCAATATATGCTTCCCTCAGTCATACTTCGGTGCAATAGGCCGAGATACGTTCAGATACGTTGGTTATGTAGAGTAATGACATTTTATTGAAATCTCTAGCGTGCCCTACTATGTAGCCTATCACACCAAAGCGTGCTCAAAATAATGACGGACGAGGATGATGCTAGTATTGTCAACATCGAGCTTAAAGACAGAGTAAAATTTGTTAAACAAACGAAGAACATTAACACTAAAAAAACTTGCATTGACATTATCATATCATCAGGATTCTACTTTGTCAAAATTATCTCCCCATTACGCCACCTAATTTTTATAATCGTAAAAATGGAAGCCATTGTAGTGATGACCCGCTGTCAATTTAGCTCTTGAAAACCGATAAATTTATCCACATAGTATCATTAAGATCCTTATATGTCAGTTGTTTTTAAAAGACAAATGATTCTACTAGCTTTTGAGCATCATTTAATGTACTTTTATGCATTTGGTCAACTTAAAACTATTGTCTGATCGGTTGTCAGGGGGGATTTTCTAAAGTTCAAAAATATTTTGAAAAATTCTAATTAAAAGAGGGACGAAAGATACCAGAGGGACAGTCAAACTCACAGATCGAAAACAAACTGACAACGCCATGGCCAAAAATAAAAAGACAAACAGACAAATAATAGTACAGATGACACAACATAGAAAACTAAAGACTAAGCAACACGAACCCCACCAAAAACTTGGGGTGATCTCAGGTGCTCCGGAAGGGTAAGCAGATCCTGCTCCACATGTGGCACCCGTCGTGTTGCTTATGTTATTACAAATCCGGTAAATAGTCTAATTCGGTAGGTCACATTCGTGAAAAGGGAAGGGTATTGTAGTTAATACATAAGGAACATATCCGATATCATCTGTGAAACGGTTATTCCATAACGGTCAACCAACTCGTGATGGCGTCCGTAAAATTTACGAAGGGATGATTTCAACTTCACCATTTGGAACTCTTGGTTTAATAGCTTCCTTGTGAGCAGCAATCCTCTATCAAGATATCTAAATATTTCGTGGAAGGGCAGACTAAAAATTTTCAGAGGTTGAAGACTAATTACCCGAGATAACACACGCAAAAAATGAAGTATTCATGTACAAGAATTACGGACATTTCAAGGCGAGATAACTCGTGTGACTTTTCTATTCTGGTTCCTATCTTGTTCTCATCGTCTGGGTTTATTATTAGACGACATTTGTTGAATAAACTAAACAATTAAATTAATGAACAAAGGAGAACATAAAGATAACATATCCTACATGTACCAATGATTTTGACGCTATAATATCTTACTGTTTACATTCAAAATACTTGCATTTACCTCTTTGATCTCTTTCATATAATGACAAGATCAATATCCCCTAATAATAATTTAACAGGCTACCTTTTCATAATACAAAACGTATATAAAATTTTTATATGTTTTGAATAACATTTAAACTTCACGTTGCCATCTGTATTCTATTTTAATTTACTTTTTCAGATTATGTAACCAATTATTTTTCAACAATACAATCATGCAATTGTGTATTCAATTATTTGATAACAATGATATAATTACTCGAAACTATATAAGTTAAATAAGACAGAGTCTCTTTTTAGATAAAAAAACTATTTTTCTTATAGATGTCGACAGAACCACACTACTTAATTTTGATGTTTAAAGACCTCCTTGGTATAACAGAAATTAATGTATTGCTTAAAACCTAAATAGATATATTTAATAATGGATGTAAAAAGAAAGGAAATTCACATTATAAAAAATGGAATTCAACTAAATAACACCAACCACAATTTGTCTTTGAAGACGGCCAGTCTTAGTTGTCTGAATATACGTTGTATGCATATCATAAATAATGAAGTTCCACTTTCAAAAGCTTAGGGACAACAGTAAACATTATTTTGAAATGGTGATTCTTATACCATTTGATAGGAAAACTGTTTGCCAATACTGTATAATTTATTAATTTGATTTAAAATAAAAAATGAATTTGATATGATTTTTTTTATAAGACATGTATACCTCGTAATTAACCATATTCAACCAGAAGATACCCCAACGTTCAACACGATAAGGACAACAGTAAATTTCAAGTTAAGTGGATTTTATTACACCATTTTAAAGCTATACAATTGGTAAGATCTCTATAATTTTTTAATTTTCTATGAGATCTATAATATAGGCAAAGTATTCGTTTATCCATGGAAGTATTATATTGTCAATATAATACTTCCATGGTTTATCTAACTAGTTGTCATAATTCCCCGTAGACAATAACGTTAAAAAGAAAATTCAATGATTACTGCTCTCTGTGGGACAGTTGATAAGGCCATCCAGCTGAGCTGTTCGCAACTCTTGTGTATGTTTGAAGTTATGCATTTTTAAGATCCACCAGAAAAGTTTGTCGTCAAGTACTTTTAGTAAAAATGTGTTATTCGAACACACCTACTCTGTTGTTATGACTCATTAGTAAGGTATTTCACTTGATCTATATATTTCATATTTTAGTACTGTAAATTTTTAATGTTATTGTATCAACCTACATCCTAAATATATAAAAATAATAGAATCTGAAGCGAGATGATATATCAAATACTTTTCTTTTATATGTTTTCAAGACAGAATAGCCAACTCAAACACGCCTGAACCTAAAAAGGTGTACTCGACTTTCTCTTTTCAATGAAATTATTGCCTATTTTGGGGAATTATTCAAAAAAAAAAAAACGACACGGGGTAGAGATGCAAATTGATGCTTTAAAAAGATAAATCTATTATCTTTCTTTGGATTTTTTTTCGACGGAATTTATCCTTATGCACAAAAAAGCTCAATTCAATAATTTAAGTAAAAACACATAAATAAATGCATAAAATCCTAAATTAGGCACATTCATTATCTGATATCCAAGGACTTGAGCGTGAAACTGTTTATGAACATTGTTAAAATGAGAATACTCCAGTTTAAGAGATCAAGAAGTGTTAATTGACAAAGACTAATTTTCCATTTTTTAAAGCATTTGTAAAAATATGTGATACTGTTTTTAATTATCAAACTGATCAGAACCGGTTTAAATGCATATAATTATAATTACAGAAGGACTTTTTAATGTCAAATCGGGTTTTTTTTACATATTCTATAACACAACCGACAACGTTTTTTACGAAACGAACGTTCTTTTGATCGTTTACTCCTTATCTTTATTTCTATTCTCTAAAGAAATGATCTTAATTGGCCTTATCATACATTCATCAATTTTTTTCTAAATAAATGTTATTATAAAGTTAATAGTATGTCATTGAACATATGCATGTACTAACAAAATGTGGTATTATAGTTCTTGATAAAAGTATGAAGTCAACTGTTAAATCGAATAATATGCTTACAGAAACTCAAATGTAATCTGTATTGCAAGACGATAAAATTATGTTACTTCTTTTTTTTACAAAATCATTTAAATACTGCCTGCCACTAAGGTAACAATTACTTGAGTTTACGAACAATTTTAAGCCATCTTAAATTATTTGCAATCAACGCTTTTATTGTCAACTTTCTTTTTTGCATGTTATATGATTTAAAAAATCATTAACGTGTAGGATTTCTACGAATTTAAATATTTTAAAATACCATTATTGTTATAATTCAGCAAAAAGGAAATAGTCTGAAACATTTCAATTCAACTCTTAGTGTTTGTTGAATGCGGACATCCGATGTATCTTTTTTGTTTTGTGTTTTGTTGTACGATCATGACAGTTGTATAATATAATTGATTATAATATATATTAGTTTCTAAATCTATAAATTCTTCCGGTTTCTTTGTAGATATAGGTTATACCTTCATTTGTTCGAATACTAATGGTTTTGATGGTATTTTCATTTGTGAAATGATATCGCTACTCGTATTTGTAGTAGCATATGTTGTTGATGAATCTGCATGCTTAAAGGGACTAAAAGTATGCCGGAACATCCTGACTGAAAGGTATTGTATCATTCACTAGTCAATGTACGGAGAGTGCGAACCGAAAAAATGCTTGTTTGGTCTATTTGAAACAACTATATGATTGACTGCTGTTTTTCGGGGAGCCGATACAACGGTTAAATTCATGCTGATACAATTAACACCACATACACGTTTAATGGATGGGAAGGAACATCAATTATTAGATATAAGAAGATGTGGTATGAGTGCCAATGAGACAACTCTCCATCCAAGTCAAAATTTATAAAAGTAAACCATTATAGGCCAAAGTACGGTCTTCAACACGGAGCCTTGACTCACACCGAACAGCAAGCTATAAAGGGCCCCAAAAATTACTAGTGTAAAACCATTCAAACGGGAAAACCTGTTAATGAAACATTTCTAGGTTAGCATTTCCGTACATTGATTGTAGTAATTTTTCAGTGAAATAAATGTCTGCAAAATAAAATTAATGATACTACTATATTTTGTTTTTAATAATTTTTGCTTTTAGTTCTTAAAATATGCTAGTGATAAACATAATTTTGATAACAATGTAAACAGCTTAAATCCTAGTTCAATTGCTAAGTACATTTTGGATGTGCTTTTTACACAAGTTTCATAATCAAATAGAAATAACACTGCTCTTTTTACTGTTTCTTTCATGAACATTATTTGATTCTTAATTATTTTTAATTTAAAGATATTATTGTTGCTCGGGCTATGAAGAAGTAAACAACGTATGCATAGGTGAGAATAGCTGTATATATATATTTTTTTAATTTGACCATTGTATAATCGAAGGTGAAACAGGTATGGATAATGGACGTTATTGTTACATTTTATGAAATTTAATTATGTAACTCAGAATATAAAATATCTGCATTTTTTTTACAAATTTTCTTTTCATTGGAATATATATATATATTACATTTATATCTGCCGATTAGTTTATATAATGGCAGATATGTTGACTATTTGTCTTCCTAAAACGGAGAATCCTTCTCTGGGAAAATAGTGGGGTAAAACCAACTTCACCTGCATATGGGATATACATTTTCCAACTCATTCGGTATTCAAGAGCTTGCAGCTGCTACTCAGACTACATAAAACGTCACTAGCGTCTGAGCAGAAAGTTGATGAACCAGGGTTATGTCAAAGAACATTTCGTCCTTTTTCTAAAAAAGTTCATCGGAAGATACCAAGACCTTGTTGATAAATATTCCGTATCAACTTCACAAATAATGCATGATGGTCTTGATGTATAGGTTCTAGGTACTGACGTTGTTTATCATCAAAATAACGTGCTATAGTGTTCTTTTATTTTTTTTTGTAAATTATTGGCCTTTATTGTATGGTCCATTTTTGGTAATGTCCTCTTGACGTGGCTCGGTACTTATACATCCCTCCATTGTGTGATAGTGCTATGGTCATGTTTTGTATTCTTATCTTTCATTTTTTGCGTATGTGCTTTGTCTATATGCCATTTCGTTTTTCTTTGTTGACATATTTGTTTGTTTTATAGTGATTACGATTATAACACAATGTTGACTGCTGTACCCCTATTTTTGACATTTTACCTTTTATGTCTGTGTTGTTCACACATTGTTGTCAATATAATGGAATTGTATGCGACTGTCATACAAATGAGAGGTAAATTTAGAGATTACAAAACGGCAATCGCTTAAAATTGAAATAAATTGAACTAGATAATTTAAGAAGCAAAATTGTCGATACATAAATGTTATATATTAGTCTGTTGCTTATTTGATACTAATTCTCCTTTTATCCACTGAACTTATGAAAATGATAAATCGCATAAAATAAATTAAATATTATTCTTAATTTGTCTCCGTCTTTCGAACGTGTCTGTCGCGAAAAACATTAATTTTTTTATTTGAACATTTATATAAAATTTGTGTTAATAAGGACACTTATTTTAATTATTTTTCTGTTAATGTAAAGTGCATTACTTAACATGATTATACATGTATTTGCAGAATTTCAAATTAATCTAATTAATAAGATAATCGGTATTGTAAAATTTTAGAATCCTACTTGAAAACAGATGTCTGCGGGGTTTATTCCTTGAATGCCAACATCCCTTGATCTACCGACAATTCACCTGTAAAATTATGTTGGCGTTCGAGGAATTAGTCTTGTTCCTCCCACTTTTAAGATTATAATAAACAATTAATTTCCCCATAGGCGACAATGATAGCCTTTTTCGAGATACAGACTTTAGAAAGCTGATTTTTTTAACGAAACCTTGCTAGAATTAAAGAAAAGTTATTAGGACAGTATTTTTTGGTCCAAAAAATATAGGTTCGCGTTGCTTTTCTTAGCGTAATTTGTACTTATCTCCCATGCCTATCAATTTTGCACTTAAAAATACGTGTCTCATCCTAGCGTTTAAAAGACATCTCAGTTCCGTTAGGGCTAAGGAAAATAATTTATTTGGCCTTTGGTATAATGCAGAATGCACGAAGTCTCTAATTACAAAAAATAACGGGCGCACATATCAACCAATCAGGATTAGCTATACTCTTAATTCTGAATACCATGTTATGCTCATAAAATGGCTGCGCCCATAAAATCTAATGGTGTATTGTAACCTATACGCTATTTAATACTTTCTAGAATCATGCAATTCATAGTTCGTTAGATGCATAAATATATATGCCACACAAAAATCATCTTCAAAACGTTCTGGCATTACTCTCTGAATTTTCACAATTTTTTATCAGAGGTAACCCCAGTCAAAAAATGTGAAAAAAAAATTTCTGATTTTTTTAGTAAATGCGGTACTGCTAAAAAGGGCCTGAAGATAATGTCCACTTTCTCCAATGATTCTTTATATGTCATCAAGTACTGATTATATTGATACCAAAACCGATCCAATATGTAACTACTACGGTGAATTTTGAACAACAGTTTTAAATGAAACCATTTTCGTATAAAAGTACATTTTTGAAACAGACTATAGCATTACAAAATATGAAAAATGTGTAAATATTTGTGTTGAAACATCGAAAACTATTCGTTAACAACGAAATGTCATGCCTATTCTAATTTTTATAGTCTGCCATTCGAGTGAACATTTCAATGTTCGAAGGGGATCGTTTCTGTACATTTTCACTGAATTTGGTAATTTCGATAACAGCACTTGGATCGAGATTGTCATGTTTAAAAATCGATTTGTATATCCAAACTCTAGACGTGTATGTGCTTTTTACAAACAAATCAGCAGAAGTTCAGAAAATGACATATTCTCTCCACAGTAAGTCAAAAGTCGAACACACCCTTGTTTCTAAGATAAAACGCTATACAAATATGAAACAGACTATAGCTTAAAAACTAGTTAATCAATAATTCATTTGTCACCAAAAAATACGGTTTCACATCAAATATCAAGTAAAATTACTGTTTTTGACACTTTTTGAGCACTATGATAAAGAAATGTCGACGCTGTATAGATTATAATAAACAATTAATTTCCCCATAGGCGACAATGATAGCCTTTTTCGAGATACAGACTTTAGAAAGCTGATTTTTTTAACGAAACCTTGCTAGAATTAAAGAAAAGTTATTAGGACAGTATTTTTTGGTCCAAAAAATATAGGTTCGCGTTGCTTTTCTTAGCGTAATTTGTACTTATCTCCCATGCCTATCAATTTTGCACTTAAAAATACGTGTCTCATCCTAGCGTTTAAAAGACATCTCAGTTCCGTTAGGGCTAAGGAAAATAATTTATTTGGCCTTTGGTATAATGCAGAATGCACGAAGTCTCTAATTACAAAAAATAACGGGCGCACATATCAACCAATCAGGATTAGCTATACTCTTAATTCTGAATACCATGTTATGCTCATAAAATGGCTGCGCCCATAAAATCTAATGGTGTATTGTAACCTTAATCACCCTAATTGTCAAACAGTTAAATAAGCAAAAAAGGCAATGGACTTACTGACCTTAAAATAATATAGTCTGTTCCAAATATATTTCAACATGTTGGTGTATCAATGAATAAAATTTATGCAATCTACATGGGACAACGTAATTGTTTATATGGGGTTTTTTCGTGGAAAGAAAACGTATTTTAATGTGTTTTTTATTATATAAAAAGTGAATTAATTTCTTATTTGATTGTTCTTTTTTCATAATATTAGGCAATTTGGTGTGTTTTTTTATATACTTTATGTAAATATTTTCCACTTCTTGTTCTTTGTTGGAATAACATTAAGGCTAAAAATATATATGATATTTGTTTTGTTAAAGTCATATATATTACTTAAAATCATAACATACATTGCATTGACAAAATTCAAATTACAGCACATCATCATTCACAGTAAACGTTATAATGAAATAAATTATCAGTCTTTTAAGGGCAGATTTTTATAATTATCTATCAATTTATTGACTTGGATGCAGATTTAAGCTCGCTTCATGTCACATATTATTTTTAATTAATCATAAATCTTAATTTTTGGTTATATATAATGATAAAAAAATATCAAATGGTATTATTCAACAAGAAGATAAATATAACAGAATCCTTATTTTATTATTAAAACATTTCACTAATGTATTTTATCAAATATTTTAAGCATATGTATTTAATAACTTCTATACTTTCTTAAAAAAAAAATCATTTTTAATATTATGACATAGAGATTAAGCTAAAAGTCTTTGCATTTTTTCTTTAGGTATTATTCCACAAGAAAATGGATATAACAGAATTATTAGTTTATTATTAAAACATTTCACAAATGTGTTTTACTAAATTGTTTAAGCACATGTATTTTATTCTTTCTTAAAAAAAAATATTTTTAATATTATAACAAAAAGACATAAAGACATAAAGACAATATTTCAAAGTTTACAGGTGAATTACAGGTAAACATTGTCAGAACAATTCAGAAACAAACTTTAATTACTAAAACAACAAATACCCTTATCTTTGTATAGGCATCAGATTAAAAGTTGGACAAGACAAGACAAGACAAGACAATTTATTACAACTTAGGCACACGTATGGTGCTACAAGAGGATAACATTTATACATTAACAATTACATAATTATACATTTGAAAGCAAGACACACAATAAATAAATTAGAGATATCATACAGTAGAATTGAAATATACCATATTTGAATGATTTTTTTGCAATATTTTGAATTGCAACGTGAATAAAACTTTATTTTAACACTACATTGTAACATGGTATAAATTATGAAAATATCTTTTCTAAATGTCTTAAAAACGTGCACAGTTTTGTTAGAACTGGCACATTACACTGTGACAATAGACCTATGAATTTTAATTGGGAAGGATTTTTTGTGCAATTTGTAGGTATATACATTTCTCTTAATGACATAATTTGTTCATTGGTACATGTTAAAAAATAATGATATTCGTCACCAATTGTATTTGAATTGCAGTGACAGCATATACGATCCTCTTTTGGTGTATTTTCCTCCGACCAACTTCAAGAGGGATTTTGATATTTGAACATCTAAATCTACTGTAGATATAACGATCTGCCACTTTAAGATTGAGTAAATATTGCTCTAAACAAAACATAGTTTTGTATGACGCATAAAAAACACCTCTAGACGAGTTTGTCATATCAGCAAATAGACGCTGTCCGAATAGGTCAACTAATCTCTGTTTTATTTCTTTTTTAATATCCGAACTTTTGATAACACCCTGTGCATTCCACACAAAGGAAAATCCTGTATCATC